TGGCATAAAATAGTTTTCACACTGTATATCGATATCTACCCTACGAAAATCCGTCACAAAATTTCCTTCGATTAGAAAAAAATTATTTTCATTCAGGAATGGTGGGGGTATTTTTTTATGATGCTATCACTTTGGAGATCTGAAATTTTGGCATAGAATAGTTATCACACTGTATATCGATGCCTACTCTACGGAAATCCGTCACAGAAGTTCCTTCTATTAGGAAAAAAATATTTTCATTCAGGAATGGTGGGGGGATTTTTTCATGATGCCATCACTTTGGAGATCTGAAATTTTGGCATAGAATAGTTATCACACTGTATATCGATGTCTACCCTACGAGAATCCGTCACAAAAGTTCCTTCTATTAGAAAAAAAAATATTTCCATTTAGGAATGGTAGGGGTATTTTTATATGACGCCATCACTTTGGAGATCTGAAATTTTGGCATAAAATAGTTATCACACGATATCGATGTCTACCCTACGAGAATCCGTCACAAAAGTTCCTTCGATTAGAAAAAAATTAAATTCATTCAGAAATGGTAGGGGTATTTTTGTATGACGCCATCACTATGGAGATCTGAAATTTTGGCATGAAATAGTTATCACACTGTATATCGATATCTACCCTACGAAAATCCGTCACAAAAGTTCCTTCTTTTTAAAAGAAATTATTTCCATTTAGGAATGGTGGGGGTATTTTTTTATGACGCCATCACTTTGGAGATCTGAAATTTTGGCATAAAATAGTTATCACACTGTATATCGATGTCTACCCTACGAAAATCCGTCACAAGAGTTCCTTCTATTAGAAAAAAAATATTTCCATTTAGGAATGGTGGGGGTATTTTTATATGACGCCATCACTTTGGAGATCTGAAATTTTGGCATAAAATAGTTATCACACTGTATATCGATGTCTACCCTACGAAAATCCGTCACAAAAGTTCCTTCTATTAGAAAAAAAATATTTCCATTTAGGAATGGTGGGGGTATTTTTATATGACGCCATCACTTTGGAGATCTGAAATTTTGGCATAGAATAGTTATCACACTGTATATCGATGTCTACCCTACGAGAATCCGTCACAAAAGTTCCTTCTATTAGAAAAAAAAATATTTCCATTTAGGAATGGTAGGGGTATTTTTATATGACGCCATCACTTTGGAGATCTGAAATTTTGGCATAAAATAGTTATCACACGATATCGATGTCTACCCTACGAGAATCCGTCACAAAAGTTCCTTCGATTAGAAAAAAATTAAATTCATTCAGAAATGGTAGGGGTATTTTTGTATGACGCCATCACTATGGAGATCTGAAATTTTGGCATGAAATAGTTATCACACTGTATATCGATATCTACCCTACGAAAATCCGTCACAAAAGTTCCTTCTTTTTAAAAGAAATTATTTCCATTTAGGAATGGTGGGGGTATTTTTTTATGACGCCATCACTTTGGAGATCTGAAATTTTGGCATAAAATAGTTATCACACTGTATATCGATGTCTACCCTACGAAAATCCGTCACAAAAGTTCCTTCTATTAGAAAAAAAATATTTCCATTTAGGAATGGTGGGGGTATTTTTATATGACGCCATCACTTTGGAGATCTGAAATTTTGGCATAAAATAGTTATCACACTGTATATCGATATCTACCCTACGAAAATGCGTCACAAAAGTTCCTTCTATTAGAAAAAAATTATTTTCATTCAGGAATGGTGGGGGTATTTTTTTATGATGCCATCACTTTGGAGATCTGAAATTTTGGCATAGAATAGTTATCACACTGTATATCGATGCCTACTCTACGAAAATCCGTCACAGAAGTTCCTTCTATTAGGAAAAAAATATTTTCATTTAGGGATGGTAGGGGTATTTTTATATGACGCCATCACTTTGGAGATCTGAAATTTTGGCATAAAATAGTTATCACACTGTATATCGATGTCTACTCTACGAAAATCCGTCACAAAAGTTCCTTCTATTAGAAAAAAATTATTTCCATTTAGGAATGGTGGGGGTATTTTTATATGACGCCATCTTTTTGGAGATCTGAAATTTTTGCATAAAATAGTTATCACACTGTATATCGATGTCTACTCTACGAAAATCCGTCACAAAAGTTCCTTCTATTAGAAAAAAATTATTTCCATTTAGGAATGGTGGGGGTATTTTTATATGACGCCATCTTTTTGGAGATCTGAAATTTTTGCATAAAATAGTTATCACACTGTATATCGATGTCTACTCTACGAAAATCCGTCACAAAAGTTCCTTCTATTAGAAAAAAATTATTTCCATTTAGGAATGGTGGGGGTATTTTTATATGACGCCATCTTTTTGGAGATCTGAAATTTTTGCATAAAATAGTTATCACACTCTATATCGATGTCTACTCTACGAAAATCCGTCACAAAAGTTCCTTCCTTCCAGCTTCCTTCCTTCTATTAGAAAAAAAAATCATCCAGGGGGGGGGTATTTGTATTTTTCATATGACGCCATCACTAGAATGTTCTAGAGATCTGTACCCAGCACGAGAGGAATCACGTAATCATATCTTCGATGTTTCGTATTTCGTAGCGCTAGCGCCCTAAAAGTACTGAAAATTGTGTAGTGTAAACTGGGCGCTGTGGTGGGGGGAGGGCGCTACGTTTGAGCGCTAGCGTCGGGCGCTAACTTCACATACCCCATAATTTGAATTTGAATTTTCAGCAAACATGTGCCCTCACCAACCAACTAATTAGGTACAATTATTTTATGAAATAGTACACAATGTTGAAATACCGATCACAAATCTTTAAAAAAATGAAAATGAATGGGAAAATTGAGGATGGCGCTACGCTACCTGAAACCTGACTGTAATGACACTGACAAATGACAATCAGATTCGCCAACCGCGAGAATTGACAAGCCCCGGGGTTTATCGCGGGAGAGAGAAGGACATATAATGCCCTCTCACTCGCGAGAATGCATTTGGCACATAGCCGAAGCACAGTACTTCATCATACTTCGTCTCGTAAGCAACTGGTTGGCTCAGTAGGCAGAGCATCGGCATGCCAAGCCGGCGGGCCGGGGTTCGAATCCGTGCGAGGCTCATCTTTTTTTTATTTTTTCCTTGTTCTCAAGTGATTTCTAAAAAATATTCTCTATGGGAAATAGGTTCATTTAGGGGTTTTCTATGTTTGTGGTTTAGGCCAGAGGTGAGGTTCGGTTAGGTTAGGTTAGGTTAGAATAGAATAGAATATTTTATTTGGTGTTAATAAACATTAAGTTTTACACAGGTCAACGAAACAAGTACAGATATACTCATAAAATAGATAGGTTAGGTTTTCTCATTTTTTATGCAGAAACAATATTTTCCTTCCTCAAGAAAAATTCTCCTTCTTCAAGAAAAAAGGTTCATCTGAGCGAGAGCGAGTTATACGTCCTTCTCTTTCCCGCGATGAACCCCGGGGCTGGTCAATTCTCGCTTCACAACCATATTCGAATCAGAGTTACCAACCTTCCAAAATATCACTACCCCTACCGCACACCAGTGTTGTTCTTGTCATTACTTTTGTAATAGATCTATTACTATTTCACGAAGATTTTACGATATTACGATTTGTCATGAATCTATTACTATTGGCTAATAGCACCAAAATATGTTCAAATACTGAAAAATCTATTTCTGTGCTCAGCGGATAATTATGTTTCGTTCTATGTTCTATATTTATGTCAAAACTGTGATTAGTGCGATAGGGTTTGACAAGAATGACATTCCGAATGTCAAGTCAGATTTTTCGAGTCTATTACCTTTTGATACAAATCTGATACCTTTTTCCAAGGAAATCTATTACGAAAAAATCAGACCCAGGAACAACACTGCCGCACACCAATAAATGGTCCACCAGGGAGCGCAGCAAATCGTGGATTGCCCTCTTCTTAACTACCTACTTATTACCGAAATTGAAAGTTTACTGTGATGAAAGGTTGAAACTTGATATCACTGTGTATTGAGAGATTTTCAAAGCCTAAGAAACAAACAATAGGAATATTAAATATCTCAATAAACTTCCCCAGAAAATGAACGCATCACCAGAAAGTGTCCAAAACTTGAGAAATATTTTCGTCAAAACTACTTGTCCGATTAGGATGTTTTTCATCCTCAATGACAGATTATCATACTGAATATTGGCGTGCAAACTATACCTAGTTATTCGTATGATTTAACCTATTTTTTAAGAAGCAATTATAGCGTTTTTTTCAAATAAAATTTGTTATATATAAAATATATTAAAGGCCATTAAAATGCCCTATATCAAAATGTTAACTGGGAACTTAATTTATCAGATTTTTTTATCCATTATTTGCATTCATTTTCTGTTCCTTCCCATTTGAGTGGAATTGTCGATAGAATCTCGATTTCTGTATTGTTGAAAAGGAGGATATTCAGGACTAACTAAATAATCTATGTGACTATTTTGTCATATATCTGTCATTTATTACAAAATCTTGTTCATTAAAAACCATTATTTTTCACTATATACACTGTTTTACCACTAACCAAACCGATTTTTTAACGCCTCGACACGTGTTTCGATAACTATGTCAGCATCTTCAGGAGAAGATTAAAAGTTTCAATCTTCTCCTGAAGATGCTAACATAGTTAGCGAAACACGTGTCGAGGTGTTAAAAAATCGGTTTGGTTAGTGGTAAAACAGTGTAGTGTATTATCGCAAAGATTCCGCAGTCTCCGATATACCATTATTTTTATAAATAATATGGACAAAATCACTCGTAGGAAAAACATTTTACCTAACTTCTTGCGAAAAAGTATTATTTTCCGCACTTTTGTTAGGTAAATGACTATATAGTATGGCGGTCATCGATTATTCGATTAGTCGTAATTTAGGGCTAGAAAATTTCCGGAGCCGGTCCTGTGAAGACGTCCAAAAAGGGGTGTCGACGACGCCGACTCACAGGAGATTGGAGAATATTCATTTGACAATGGCCTTCGCACAAAACCAATGAGATAGAAAAATGGTCCGGTGCAATGGAAATATGTGAGGCCTCTATCTGATTGGGAAAAAACAGCCATGACGATACGGTTATGGTTATTCACCTCTAGTTATAAGTATTTTGATATTTTACATCGAGTCTGAGGTCAGTAAACTCTTCGAATTCTCATCAGATTGTGCATGATGTAGATGTTATTTTCATCATCTTAGGAGTTTCTTGACAACCAAATGCATCCATATTATGTTTTTGCACGCACGATATTCTTCGAACATTACAGAGATTCATTTTCGTGCGCTCCGAGCGATAAAACAAAATATACAATGTGTGCGATTTCAACTAGCAACACCCTCCTAATTCGGAGCCCGTTAACCGATTTTGAAAAACAAAAATTCCATAATATAATAGTATAGTCAACAAGCTCTCTTCGAAAATGTGGACAAATCTCTGAAATATTTAGATTTTCAATGCCTACTTTTGTTTTTTGAAAGAGTCAAAATTTCAAAAATGACTATTAGGCAATTTTGTTTTCTAAACAGTGACTTACATAGTTGATTTAGGCAATGCTGACATACCTCCATACAAAATTCTAACGCATTATCTCATATATAGGGTGTCAGATATTCAATGGCAAATATTGATATTTTTGCTTTTTAATTTACTCTGTATCAAAATCAAAGGAGTCTATAACCGGTGAAGTAATCATTCGATGGATCGTTGTATAGCTTCTACGGGAAGATCTCTCTATAGGTCAACCAAATGTTAATGAAATTGAATATAATTTTTCCTGAAAATAGAAATGATATACTTAGTAACTAATTCGAGGAAATATTACCCATACATAAAAATATTCATAGTCATCTTGAATTTTCCTTCAATTTCGCTAAAATATTATCATTGTCATCATTGGACAGTGTTTGTCTGTCATTCTATTTTTGTGTTATATTCGACAGCTCTTTATCAATCGAGACAATTTTCAAAATTACGACTGTGTGGTGCAACTTTAGTTCTATTGATATTTGGTTTGGTTGAACTAGAAACATCTTCCTGAAGAAATTACAATGATAAAACATCGTATCTAAGTACTCCATGCGTTTCTTCAGTGAATTACCGTTATCAACTACTTAGATATGATTGCAGGGTGAATTGAAAAAGCAAGAATTCTGAAATTTGCCATTGAATAACTAACACACCCTGTATGAGATAGGATCGAATAGGAAATTTTGACCCCTTCAACAAACAAAAGTAGGCCTTGAAAATCTGCATATTCCAGATTTATCTACATTTTCGAAAAGAGCTCGTTTAGAACTACCTGCTTATATTGACTAATTTTCGTTTTTGAAAATCGGTCGATGTATTCCAAATCACAAAGGTGTTGCGGGCTGAAATGTTTTCAATGTTTTTTGAGTTTTTCCAACATTTCTCAAAATGAACAATTCGTTACACCTATTACACTTGAAAAAATTGAATATTAGTGTTATGAGGCGTTTACATACAGGGTGATACACTTTCGGGTGTTGTAGCCAGAATTTAACCCTTTTTGATCTTTTTTGCGTGCTGTCTCTTTTTTCAATGAGAATACTGAAAACATTTTGTTATGTTTTGTTTTTCTATACGATTTCGAATATTTTTTAGGACTAGCAATGGCAATAATAAACACCAACCTACTTGAGAAACAGAAATCTTCCACAATATGAATTCCCAATGAATAGAAGGCCTTTAAACTACTCTAAACAGAAAAAAATCGATGCTGGCCTCGATTTCCATTGCGGAAAATATTTTTCTACGAAGAACAAACGATCTTTGATTTCAAAATAATAGTTGGAATCTAAAACTTACAAGGCATGGACAGATGCTTTTCAACAGAGTTAGATTTTGGGGTATACTGCTATTACTCTTCGTCTATTTAGTGGGCATTCTGGTTCTGTCGGTTATTTCACTTCATGATAACAAACATGGACGATACAGGGTAAGTGCTACATAGCTCAGTAGAATAAAAGTTATAATATTGGCAAATACGGTACGTACTGTGTACCGTCAACCGGGGTGATTTGATTACACTTTTCGTTCATTTTCGTTCGTGAATTCAAGATTTTTTGAACTAGATCCGCCAAAATCGGGTTTAATTGCGTCTTAACAATGGTTGGTGTTTTCTGAAAATTTAACCAATCAATGATCTATTTATTAAAAAAAAATTAAAAGTGTTCCGACTCGCCCCGTAGTTTGGGGCGACTAAAAGCACCCACAGTTTTCAGTCGCATTCTTATTTCAAACTACTTCTGATCCTCATTTCAAACTAATTCTGGGCGGATCGGAACATTGAAAATGAAAAAAAAATTGTTGATTGGGTAGGTGTCTATAAACAAATGATTCAACAGTAGAATATGTGAAATATATTACCTAATTATTCGAAAACAAAATAGATATAAATCTCTTTGTTGAATTCCAATGCCTAACTGAAAACATTTCTCAATTGAGTGAAAAAATATGATATGTTTTTTCGATACCAGAACGGTGTTGAAGTCACCCACCAACATCTATCGAAATCGAAAAACTTCGACTTTGGCATCCCAGGATTCAGATCGCCCTCTCGTAGATCGAAGATAAATTGGTGTGCAGATCTGAGGTACATCGATCCACCTGGAGAAACCATTGCTCTGGCCTCTTTTCCAGGTAGTGGCAACACTTGGTTGAGATACCTTCTGCAGCAGGCTACAGGTGGGCACATTGATCTCTGCCAAATACATAATTTGTTTCAATAGATGAGTCTTAGGAAATTGAATGATTCTTCTCAAACTGTAGTGTAGTCAAAAGCACATAGATAACAAATGATAATGATTTTTTAACATGGACTCAGTGCAGCCTGAAAATCTCATGATCGAATTGATTTGAATCTTTGAATGAGAACGATATCTAAATTTTGCTTCATTCTTCCAACTCACGGTTATTGTACGATTCAGCGGTACACCCATTCGAATTCAAATAGAACCGATAAACTATAGCAATATCACTATAAATCACCTCATGTTCTTTACTAACTTTGTGAATTTAGCTATATGACTCTCGCTGTCAGCTTCCTACAACAGTAGATTAAGCAAATAGCATCAAAAGTAGATATTCAACGCCGAATCAGAAGTTCATCACACGAACGTTGAGATACTTCCACACAAAAGTTCCACAAACAGAAATAACAAGAAGCTTACTTGATGTCTCTCGCTTGACTGTTTGTTGACGGTCGAAGTATTGACACTCACTAGTCCATAGTCACGACTCCACTGTCATTGTTCTCCGTATTCCATCCACACTACCAAACCCCTCCACCCTAATTACGTCACATTAGGCGCACACAAAGGCATGCGTATTACCTACGTGATAGAGTCCGACCAGGTTAGGTAACTTTGGGACAACACGTAGTTACGTTTGCATTGAATCACGTGGTGCCGCAAAGGTAGCCTGATCAGACTCTAGTTATCTACGCCAATAGAGCACAATTCTCCATCATTTTTCAGGACTCTTCACTGGGTCTGTGTACAAAGATTACGGTCTACTGAAAAATGGTTTCCCTGCGGAAAGCGTACTGAACGGATCAGTTTTGGTGGTGAAGACTCACGAATGGGGCCCAAAATCCAGGAACAAGTTCTCGAAGGCCATTTTGCTAGTTAGAGCCCCCGCGGCATCAATTCAAGCCGAATTCAATAGGCAAAGTGGCGGGCATATCGGGTTCGCTTCACCTGACCGATATAAGAGGATGAGAGGTCGATGTAAGTACAAAATCTTGAGCATTATCACGTTTCTGCAATCTAAAATAATAGGTAGAGTCTCCAATCAACTGTTCAGATAGGGAATACTTTTCAACAGTTACCTTCATGACCTGTCTTGCACCATTCAAATTCGGAATAGAAAAGATTGGTCTTTCCAATAGGTGATTCATGCTAAGGAGTACTCCCTCTACCGTTGTCTAATATAACTAACGTATGGGCCATTGATTGCTTTGTTTACTTCAGTTTGCGTGTATTTTGTATGAGAAGTAGTTGTGTTTTAATTGTCTATAATTTTGTTTGAGAACTTCTATAAACGTTTAAAAACATGAGTCATCATTGTTGTGTACCTCATTGTTCATCTTGAGCAAAAAAATCCCGAGTATAGCTTTCATTCCTTTCAAAAATCAGGACAGTCTAAATTTGTATTTGAAACTAATAATTTGGGAAACAAGGAAGTGATCGGTAGGAGAAAGGTGTGGATTCATAACTTGAAGATTGGAAAAAGTGTAAAGTGTCTGAACATAATGAGATATTGTTCTTTACACTTCACCGAAAATTTACTCATACCTATAGGTATATTTTCAAATGTATGTCTATTATGAATATAATACCTACTTCTTGAGGTGGTGGTAAGAGAACAAACAAATTTCAAACTGATTATATCTTTACTCATGAACAGTAGAATTTTTAAACAGTAAAGAATGTTATCAATCAGGGTTTCGATGATTATGTTGTAAAAAGTCAAGTAGAAACTGTTTACCTAAATTCACCTTCCAAAGAACACTTTATTCCCAAAAAGTTTGCTGGATTTTGTTTTAAAAATATCATGCACTATCAGGGGAATATCACAGCACATTCGAATCGGAAATCAACATTCCACACAGGTTTTCATGAGAATTCTTGTTCAATAATGATAAAAACTTACAGCCTATGCATGTTGGTATATATGAAGTTCAACTAGAGGTAGGGAGGTTATCTAATGTTGAACAGAGATAATATTCGCGAAAATCACGAAGTGTGCGGCCTCTGGTGGCTAACTGTACAAGTCTTGCGAGTATGAACAACAAATATGGCGACCATTGTTTTGAATTTCATAAATATGTGTTTTATTGGAAAATAATTTATTTGTTGAAGTGCATATTCCAGAACCTCATTTCTTCCTGATGAAAAAACTCGAATTATTCCATGAACTTTTATTGTTTACAATGAAGAAACCAGTATCCACCTTATAATAATATAATATACATTTTCTGAAGCACAATTAGAATCATTGTATAAATGTTGGATGCAATGATTCGATCTTGAGAATAACTTCAAGTCCTCAATTGTTGGAGATCCTTGTTTATGTAAATCGATGATATTGTTCATTCTGAGCAGCCTCTCCAACCATATCTTCTTTTCCAACCCCTTCACTAGATTTCCATCTCCTTCATAAAAGCCAGTGATATTTCTTGATGAATTCAATTATTTCCTCATACCTATACCATATTGTTGTAATAGCTGATTGCTTGTATGGTTCCATTCCAGTCCATGCAAGTATTGAGTAGACCATTCCGATCATTCCATATGTTTGAAAACTGTGGGATTGTAGTGTGATATCAATGATGAATACCACCATTGTCCACATCAAAATGGCAATTTCTCTGCACAAAATGTAATTTTTCTCATACTCGAAACCTTGTACGTATTTCAAGAAGTCAACTTATTATTCACTCTTTTGCAAAATGATTTGGAAATAACCAATTTGCAATGAGTGCATACGGCAATGTTTTTGTTGTTCATACTCAGTTGGAAATTTGACGTTGATTTGACGTTTAATAGAGCCATCTATTGGTTCGTGATTTTCGCGAATATAGTCCTCAATCAAAACACAGTAGACCGCTGGTAAATACAAAGTTCGAAAATAGACAAATAACAAAGCTGGACGTTTGAAAACTCAAAACGAAATGAACATAAACACCATTACCAAACAATGTAAACAATTCGCCAATGGCCCATAGAGTAGTACTGACATTCGCCGTTCTGGCGCTACGATCTTAATCTCAGTCGCCTATAGGAGGAAACTACTATGAGAGCAGATACCTGTTGCATAACAGATGGTTCAGAAACACTCTCAGGCTCTAGTGCATTCTTGGATAGCCAAGAGGCTCTGAAAGCACCTAGTCCAACGTCTAAATTGGTATTGAACTGTCAAGAGAAGAATCTCCACAAATGAAAGACTAAACAAATTCTATCTGGTCTGGATTCATAGCCACTCCGGTATGGAAGGGAATGAAATGGCAGATTTCTATCAGAGCAGAACCTGCTATTGGCATCTCGCCATGTTCTGCCAAATATACACTGAACACTGGGCTGCAAGGAGAGTTGCAGACTTCTGGCAGAATATCTACTATGTCACCTAATAAATGTTAGACTAGAGCAGGGATGATCCACGCTCACTAACAGGCCTAATTACAGGTCAATATTGTCTTAATCATCATATTATTATGTCTAGACTTTTACTGTCGTATGATCAGGCGTATCATCTTTGTCTTGAAGATCATGAAACAGCAGACCATTTACTTTCGTGCCTGCTCTTGCCGCGGCTCAAATTTGGTTTGAGATGTTTGTCTTCATTAACAAGCTGAATCTACTAGGTGAAATATGAATTGTTGTGTTCCACAATAGACCTACTGGACGCAGCGGAGGTTGGAATATACCCACTCATTTTGAACCTTACCTAGGGAATAATCTACATAATATGTACAGTCGTCATCAGCGAACATGTTGCGGTTGGACGGTATGAACGCTCTTATTGCAGCGGTGATCAAGGAAGCTGACACCGTCCATGTGCGACATGATTTCTGGAGACGAGTGCACTATAGTTAAGTGAATAAATATATAAATATAGAATCATTTCATCGATTATTCGCATGTTTTATTCGAAAATACCTTCAAACTGAATGCAAACTTCAATTGATACACTCAAAATAGTTATGAAATGAGTAGGTAATGAAATATTATTTTACAAGACCGACTTTTGATTATGAGAATGGTAGAGCAATCTCTAATGCAACAATACTTCATTATTCATTGTTATTCAATTCAAAGTAGAAACCTTTCTTCCTATAATTGATACCCTGTTGATGAATCTCAAATCTAGGAAGGTACCTTATGGATCAATATTTCTATGCACTAACCTGTGAATACTTCACTTTCAATTTGTGGATTTTATTTTCTATGCATCCAATGCGTCTGTAAAGAACTTTTTCGAGCTCAATAGTTTCCAAGATATTTCAATGAATGTAATAGCTCTATGACGGATGCGTTTTGAATATATATTTTGAGAAATATTCTTCTATTGATTTGTATTATATCTGTAAATATAGTTAGTTCGTATTTTTTTGCATCAAACTAGCCATAGTTTGCTATGGGCTGTCGATTCCCTGGTTTGTGCCTGTAGGTTGGGAATCGCCCAATTATGGATGAGTGAAAGAGCAAATGTCGATTTATCGGCGAGTTGAACTCTGCCTCTTGTTCCTTTGAGACAATGAATGCATTTATTATTATTATTATATCCTGAATGCACCCAAGGCCTCCAAAAGGTTGAAGACGGCCTTGCTCATTGATGGCTCCAGAATCTCTCACCATATATCGTTTATAGACTGGCAGCAGTTCGTGACGGACAAGCTGAACGGCTGGCAGCAAATGAACCTCGACTGGCTGTACAACTTCACCGGTCCCACCCACGTGATCTTCTACGAGCAGCTGGTGGACAATGTGGAGCACACATTGCGCACCGTCATGGCGTTCGTGGGCGTGCGCGTGGACGAGGGTCTCGTCCAGTGTGCCATGGAAAGAAAGGAGGGGATATACAGGCAAGGCTGATGGTAGAATCTATAGGGATTGTTTATCGAATCGTTACAAACAGTGTCTTTCAGAAACTTGGCATCATATAATGGGAAATACTTTTAATAATAATTTATACCGAAATTCGACTTTGGTGTTGAGTTTTCATCAAAAAAATATGTGAAATAACCTAGGTACTCGGTCGGGCCTCGGTGAAAGTTTTAGAAATTCAAATAGATAATCCTATTTTCAGCGATAAATTAAAAGATTGTGTGTTTTTTGATGCAAAGTTGAATTCCAAAATGAATTATAATTATTATTAAAAGTTTTTCCCATATTATGATGGTAACTTTCTGATGGACAGTGTATTAGGGAAGATTGGCATTTGACAACATGACCAGTAACGGAGAATGTCGGTTTTTTCATTGTGATGGCCATTGGCCAGTGTTGCCAGGTCCACCGTTTTGCGCTAGATCGACCGTTTCACTTTACCGCAGAGCAATATCTACCGCTGAAATTTACATTTACCACTTACAAATTTACATTTACCTAAATGAAATAATAGAAACTTCTCATTCAATTTTATTTTACATTGATAATATAATATTCATGAAAATATTACAATTCATTGATTGCTTGTCGTAACATATCTAATGCAGTGACCACACTACGAAATCCATGTTCCATCGCTTACTGCGGATTGCGAATGACGTTTTGGTCGGTGAATCTTCAAGGAAACGTAGGTAATCGGTGAAAATTTATGATTAGTGACTACCACACAATTTGACTGATTGTTTGTCAGTTATTATTTTTCAAGCTTCATGATTTTCAGTGAATTCCTACAGAAACGAAGACTATTTATTTCAATTTATTTTTAATACTTCAACTCGATTAATTTATTGCCTACTAGGAAACCACTTACTAGGTGGCAATTTCCAAACTATGTCTACCGATTTATTCTCAAATCTTCGCTCTTTCATGTCTATATATACCGCTTGTTAGGTTTAATTTCATTTGTATTAATAGTGATTTTGAATGACCTAGCTCGTATATTGTTTTTTTGATAGATTACATGTTTTGAAACGAAGAAGGGTACAAGAGTTATCTGATTTGTGAAGGAGAAAAATCGATAAACATAGTGCTGGTCACATCGATCCGGCTCGAAGGACCAGTACATTACAAAATTCTCCATATTAAAGACTTTTGTGATGTTCCATATCTGAAATTGCTATTGTTGTTGTATCCATCATTCGATTGCCCCCTTACGAACAACCCTCAGAAGTCTTCAAGAGACTTGTGCGAGTTAGGAATTACGGAGGGTCTTACGTTTTAACGTATGATCCCAAACACCGCTTATCTCATTCTTGACCTGGCAACACTGGCGAAAACGCACGATAGCCACCGGATCAGTCTCTCTTGCTATGTTGCCATTCACATGCCCTATAGGTAACGATCGGGCAAACGATCTGTAGAGTTAATTAGACCTTGATGTACAGGAGGAAGAAGCGTGCTGTGAACTTCGATCCCTACACCGAGAAGATGAAGGAGAGGATCAAGGAGGTGCAAGAGAAGGTGTACGGGGCCATTTACAATTTGGCAGCGCCTGCCACCAGTTGATCTCACATGTAGATTTATTATTTGGAGATGAGTCTAGAGAAAAAAATTGTAGCCAGTTCCAGCGAGAGTGAAGGTCTCACGTGTAGATGTTTTGTATGAAGGGAATTCTAGGGAAAAAATTGGCTGTGCTGCCTCCAGAATTAAGCTGAAGATCGTATTCTGGAGACTAATACTCGAGGAACAGAATATAGAACACGACAAAATGATACTTATTACTTATTTCTTCATATGAGCACATACTCTGAAATGTTCTGAAACGGCTCGTCAACGAGATGAAGGGCACTGATGAAGTAACGTATTTTTCAACGAAAATTTGAAGAATTTGAGCATTCCAATATATATATTGATAGATATAACTTTGAGATTTTGTTGAAGGGACAAACAGCAGTGATAAAAAGAGGTGCAAGTAAGTGAGGTGATTCATAGTGTTTACTTTTCAATGAGGTGAGAAAGCTACTCCAATATTATTGAATGAATACCTAGTTAGTAAGGAAGAGGTATATTATCTGTTAATCGAAAAAAAAATTGCAAAAATCGGCCTCATTGACCACATTTTCATCAAGCTAGTGACCTCAGAATTTTTCAAAACGTGTCAAGACTCGCTTTTCTGTTTATAATCAAACATTTCCCATGCTCAAACATTTCAAGTACTTACTTAAACAAACAAGGGATACATTATCTTGTTTCCTGGAATATTAATTGTCTCAAATTCACATCATCGTCGAGAAAACAGTGTTCAAAAATCCACATTTATGTCCACCTCTTGTAGAAATGTAAATTCGAACAACGAAATCAAAAGAACAACAATCCATAACAACAAATTAGACAATCAAAATAATCAAAACTATAATCTGTTTGAGGTGACATTATGAAAAATTCGTCCTAAAATTGTCCATTTTGACAAATATTCTATTGAAACAAATGAGTTCTCGATGTTTTCGGTGAACTAGTGCCATTGGGTCAATGAAGAGGGAATATTATACCAACCTCTAACCTATACTAACCAGGTTGTCATTAAAAACGACAATAGATAAATTATATAATATGAAATCAATTTGCTACTAGGTTCAGTAGATCCTAGTCTTGTGACATTCTCACTCTTTTGAAATATATACAGAGTGTTTCAGATTCTAGTGTACACATACTATACCTGTGAATAGGGGACACTTTGATGGTTCCAAATCAGCGCTCATTGATGTGTGTACGAGCTTTTATAAAAAATGTCAATAGATTGCGAGATGGATTTCAGTTCAAAAAGTCACTTGATTCCTGAAAACTCACTATTAGTTACAAATTGGTCTGGTAAACGTTTTGTCTTACTACTGCTCCCTTCTTGAATATCGTCAGTTATATTTCTTCGATGATCTGAACCTCTCTAACCTGTAATAAGGGCTTTATAGACCTTATTCATGAAGTTTACAGCCTGTTGAATGATAGATACCTAACTTAAAATAGGAACAACGCATAATTAGGTTGATATTTGTGATTATAGTAAGGTACAATACGCTATTGTCTTATACAGGGTGTCTAAACCTTCGCCAATATTCTTAGGATTATTGTATATAGGTACAGTTGATTCAACAAATTGTTCCTTTTAGCCCAAAGATACTACTATTATGTAGGTATAGCATAGAACATTTGTGTGATCATCGCATCATCAATCATCGCAGATAAAACAGAATGAAATCAAAATATTGACAGTTTCTCAAACTGGAGTAATGAAGTAGAAACCAAATAATACTCGAAGTCATCTCCATTGACAAAATTTTCGTCACGTTATTCGTGAAAGAAGAGAACAACGATATACTATTTATACATGAACTGATATACAGGGTGTCCGCTAAAAGGAGGTCAATCCATTAACCATATATTTCTTGAACAAAAACAATATGAGTTTCTGAATACCATTTTTCATTTTAGCCCTTCCTGTTCGATATACAGGGTGTCAAAGTTTGACATTAAAAACTGTTTTTCTTATAATTCGAAAAGTACTGGTTATTGTTTGATGCCTATGCGGCTTACAGTAACCTCATAATGTTCACATACTCCTATTTATTTCGTCGAAATTGGAAGAGGCGTGACTTTTTACGTACGAAAAGGTAGATATGGAAATACCGGGTGCTCAGCGAATGTATTAAAATAATTTTTACAAAAAAAAATGATAGAAATTCAACACGTCTAAATGAATTACTCGATGTGACCTCCAATTTTTTGAATACACATGTGAGCCCATTTAATCAAAGAAAATCTTAGCCCTTGAAAAATATGTGGCTCAAACACAAAATCTTTCATACTTCTCCAGACAATCCTGATCTGCTATTTCTTTCATTAGTATAACTACTATTTTTATTTAGAGCTTTTCAAAGCACGTGGTATACAGCTGTCTCACTGATTGCTTGACTGCTGCCGTTTCTCAATAATTCTGTAGTATTGCATACTCTTGTATCGTCGCCTCCATATGTATATTGGGTGTTCAAAAATATGTTTGAATTATAGGGATGTTCGAGAACAATCTGGAATTAGTGATTCAAGACGATCGATGTTGTCTTGCCTACTTAATGATACCCTCAGAGGGATATCATCACAGTATAATGTCGTGGAGATGGCTTCGAGTTCACTCATGAGTAGGTTTGGATAAGCAGTGGGCTTTGACTGAATATTTTGGAGCTGATTCTACAATGATCACCTATAACTTTACAATTGTTTGCTCAAATAGATGAATGATAGATTTAATTCACGTGCTGTTGATATTAGTGTATATGTCGTATTGGTTTGGCCGTTTTATACAGGGTGTGCCATGGAAGTTAAGATATACATTGTAATAACGTGGTAATATCTTTATCTACAGAATAATCACTGGTGTCTCGAAAGAATACTGATGGTTAAAGAGCTGATTATCTTGTTTTCATTCATTTATTGATTATTTATACTATTTGTTTATCAATTTCCTCCATTTGTCCATTTATTTATTAATTTATTCATTTATTTATTTATTTATCCATTTATTTATACATCAACTTATTATTCATTCATTTATTTATTCATTTATTCATTGATTTATTTATTCACTTTTCTTACATAGAAATATTGCTCAAACTGCTTGATGAATAAGTATTGATAGATGAGAATCATATGTGAAAAACTATAAATGTTACAACTGTAGTAGGTATATATATTTGTTATTGTGAGTATACCTATTCATTTATTCATTCGATATAAATCTACGCGTGATTCAATCAAAGAAGTAAAAATAAACTTGTATATTTTTTTGATTTGCAATAATGGCTCTAATATTGCCTTTTTACGATTAATTATTTTTTGATCATCTTCCATTTTATCATTAAATAATGCGACATCTTTGATTGTGAAAGGGTCATATAAAAACTCACCATATTTGTAGTAAAAATAATTGTTAAAATGAATAATTGATATATAATGTGACAAAAAACTCCTATAATTGTTTTATTTTTCCTTTCAACTCAAATGTCTTACCAAATAAGTTTTTTCAACGATAAGAATATTGCAATCGTTTGAACATCGGAATTCTGATCTCATCCAATGGTCAAATTGGTTTCCATTACAAAAACATTTCGAATTCACTCAGGTTGAATATTGTCCTGCAATTTTCATTTTGGAATATTTTGATGTAAGGGGATATGTGAAACATAAAACTCAGATGAACTAAAAACATTTTATTACCAATTCTCCAATATTTTCAAGCCGAATATATTAAAATAAAAGTTTCCAAAAACTCTTCTTTGCTTTAGTTTAACAATTGTACGAATAAAATATTTTTCACTAAGAGGATATTCCTATAAAAACGTCTCACGAAAATCTCAAAGTATTGTCTCTTAAAAATGCATCTCCATATAAATGTCTCTTATCAACAAAAAATTTTACATCAGAGATTATTCCACAACTTAATAATTTAACTCTAGATATTTTTGTACCATCAGACAAATAGGCCTGGTTTTCACATTCCTTCAGAATTTGGCATTGGCATGAGAATGTTATCTTCATGATAATAATTATTTTGACACAAAACTGAATACCTACTTGTTCAGAAAGTCTATTAGAATAAAATTTATTATTCATACAGGGTTTCCATAAATGATTTTGGAATCGAAGTGGCAACTTTGGAATGTTTTGATGATACAGTCATGAAGAAACCCTGTACAAATTCAGGGATACTAGCTAGGTATTCCACATCAATTTATACGTAACATGATCACAATTAATTATCAATATGGGCTGAAAAGGATATAGGTATTCTAAATAATTCTGGATCATGATAGTTTTGAATATCTATACAGGATGACATTCAAATATATACATATATAACTATTCAATTCTACTTCTATATAGGTACTATCGAATGGCACATTTTTTTGTGCATTCTTCAAGATGACATTGTTAATTATTGTAGAATTCTCAAAAATAATTCTTCATTTTGGAAACATCAGTCAGACTGAGTCTGATTTATATATCGATTTCAAAATCACCTTGTTTAGATACTTCCTTCAATATTTTGACATGTTTGTAGAATAATCTGCTCTTATAACAATTTCAAATAACAACGGTGAAAAGTGATGGAATACAGTATTCCATAATGTGAAGAGTTTCTTTATTCTTGACCAATTCCAGAATTTCAAAATAATTCATTATCATCGATATGTCAGTTTCATTTGGTAGGTATATCAATTTGGACATTTTAATGTGCAAAAATAAGCTTTAATATAGCTGAAATATTCTCTTGATATGAATTTGCTTCATAATTTTTCCTTCGATCTGTGCAAATCGACCAAAATAGAAGGTTCAAATGATTGTACACTGAAAAATAGTAGATTTCACGAATATTTTTACAAATAGGTACTTCAAATACGATAAAATTCTTCCACTTGAATAACATATTGTCAATTAAAATCCTGGTATTGCGGTAATATTAATCGAATATGATTTTTTGTATTTGGTGATAACTAAATTTGTAAAATTTGTTGTTTGTTCTAAAATTTGTTCTATCCGTCATTCGGTTGCCCCCCTACGAGCAACCCTCAAAAGTCTTCGAAAGTCTTGTGCGAGCAAGGAATGACGGGGGCCTTACCTTTTAACGTGTGATCCCAAACACTTTCTTGGGCCATCAGAAAAATTTCTGCAGTCGACGGGGATCGAACCCACGACCGGCGAGCGAATGCGAATTAGAATATAGACACTCTGTCCGCACGGCTACCTGGCCACCCTGAACTGAATGGGAAAAGTTGCCAATGTTGCCATATATATCTTACCATCATCAAACTTATACATATGTTGACGTAATATTTCACAAAAGTTTAGCGACACTGCAAGATAACATAGCTTTATCAATATTTCTTGAATACCACGATCACAAGCAATTGTATAATCCAATAATGTTGCGAATATATAATTAACGAAAGGTAAAAGTTATATGAAATTTTGGAAAACGACGAATTTATTTTGCAGGCGGAATGATATTTTTGTGCTTCTTACAGTTTTTTATACCAGAACAAGTAGTGGTCACCTTCTTCAATCAATAAATCGTCAACACCTGAAAATAAAAATCACATTATATACGATTGGTAGTTATAATATAACCGAGTTATCATATACTCCATGCTCTGATATTTTGTTTGTTATAACCGAGTTATCATTCCCAATTCTTCGATGTTTAGTTTGTCATGTACAAATTATCATTATCTATTTGATGATTTGTTCATTCTTGCCGATCGAGTCATCTTTCATCATGTTTTTATGACCTGTTTGTCAAGTTGACATTTCCTATTCTTCGATGTTCTATTTGTGATAACCGAGTTATCATTCATACTTCAATATTCTATTTGTCATAGCCAAATCATGATTTTACCTATTTTAATGTATCACTCTTTTTTCTTCAATGTTTCGTTTTTATAACCAAGTTATTATTATCTCTCCTATCTATCATCATTCCTTGAGATTTGTTCGTTTAAGCAGAGTTACCGTTTCCTCTTCCTTTGTTTCTTATAACCGAATTATTCAGCCATTCTTTTTTCTTGAATGCTTTGATTATAATATCCTAGTTATTATACCCTTTCCATCAATTTCCCGCCCTTTAGCGATAGTCACCCACAGATTCATTCTCTCGTCAAGGTTTTGTTTGTAATAACCCGATTATTATGCCCTATTTTCGATGATTTGTTTGTTATTACCGAGTTATCATTCACGATTCTTTTACGTCCCACCCGATGATGATACCCACCTACAGGCGCAACGAATTTCTTTAACGTTCTGCCCGATAGCCCATACTCAAACACAGGCGCAACAAGTGTTTTCAACGTTCCGCCCGATAGTGATACTCATTCACAGGTACAATAAATATCTTCAACGTTCGGCCCGATAGCCAATACTCAAGCATATTCACAACAAGTGTCTTTAACGTTCCGCCCGATGGCGATACTCACAGGCACAATAAGTATCTTTAACGTTCCGCCCGATAGGCGATACTCAAACACACTAGAGTCTAGGGCTAGCACCTTCTGAGGAGGTAAACGTACCCGAACGTAAGAATGTCCTTGACAGAATACCACTAAAACCGCGCAAATTTATTGTATATTTTCAGTGGCGTGATTAATTGCAGTACAGCACGCCTATGATAGTAGTCTCAAATGCGTTTCGACATTCGATCACCTCCGTATGCAAGCGTTTAACCCATTGCGTTCGAAAACGATGTCGTGACCCCTTTCGTTGAAAAACGGTTCGTTGTGATGCAAGATACCGAATTTTTAATTTATTTATGGCCCACAAGATCATGCTTTTCAAAGTCAGATTCTCTTTTGGAACATACAATTTGGGCCAATAAAAGTCCTTCAAAACTGGGTTTACATAATTTCAGAAGCAAAAAGAAAATAAGGTGTCTAAAAAGACAAGGGCTTGCCAATTTTCAGAAGATGTGATCCGTTATTTCAGTCTCAATTTTAGATCATCTTTTTACATAACTTTACAGTGGCTTTGAGGAAGTGCATTTTAAGGCACATATTTATATGGAGAAAAATTCTTATTTTCAATGACAATAACTAACCTATGATATTCGTTCGGAGGTTTTAACAAATTACAAATCAATTTCTCGTGATATTTCCTATACTCATGTCTATTTTTTCCTTATTAGAATTGTTCACCAGATTGTTTCGGTTTTTCAGACAGCTCTGGGGGGGGGGATGTAGACACATGCATGGACCCCCCCTTCAATTACGCCACTGTTTGTTTCGAACATAATTATGTGGGTATTAGAATTTTGAATCATTGACGAATAGGTATAGTGAGACGACCCGTATATTGCATATAAAGTTGCATGTAACTTTTGAAAATATTTTATCTGGGCAGTAGCTTACTGATGAAGGTGCTTTTTGGTCTGCAAAAATTATGATCAATTGTTCCTTAAGACTCCTGTTGGAGTAGGCGATCGAGATTTAGATATATGGATCAAAAAGTTGTTACTTTATACCTAGTTGTTGTTAACAATGTGTGGTGTAGGTAGTTTATAATATGCAGTGCTGTTTTTGTAGGACTGTGTAGTAATTCGATTATATCAATAACGTTCCGCCCGATAGCCCATACTCAAACACAGGCGCGACAAGTATCTTTAACGTTCCGCCCGATGGCGATACTCACAGGCACAATAAGTATCTTTAACGTTCCGCCCGATAGCCGATACTCAAACACAGGCGCAACAAGTGTCTTCAACGTTCCGCCCGATGGCGATACTCACCCACAGGCGCAACAAGTTGATTGGCGGGCGGTGCCAGCGGATCCGGTACCTCGGGCAGCCTGTACAACAACCAATAGTGGTACCCCATGGGCTCCTCTTTGTACCCGGCCAGGGTGTGCACGTAGTGGCCGTTGGGCCATTCGGAGGCCTCGAAGGTGAACCGCGGATCGGCGTCCATGGCCGCCTGCATGACGTGGTAGAAGGAGGTGTTGCGGGGGGCGGTGAGGGTGACGGTGGCGTTCTCGGTGACGTTGGCGCCCACCCACAGGGTGTACGTGACGGTGACGTTGCGGGGGTCGGAGTCGTTGCCGTGGGGGTAGAGGGATTTCGACAAGCCGTCGATTTCGACTGCGGAGGAAGAGAATGGGGATGTGAATGTATCAATCTTTGAGAGTTTTGCAACGTCCTGTATATTATAGGGTTCTTTCCGTTATATAAAACGATTTGTAAAATTGAATTAACCTTAGGGTACGGACATGCCGAACAAACACATTTGTTTTTTCATGTTCTGGTTCCCACGAAAAGGGATATCCTGTAATGTTCAGAGAACATCTTGAGTACCAAAGGAAATAAGGTAGGAATAGGTGTTCTTCTTGAATTTCTGGAGGTTATATGTCTCGGGGAACACCTCCATTGGCAATATGTTCCACAGCTTCGCTGTTCGTTGAATGAACGAGTCTTTCGAAAGAGATGTTCTGCAGTTCGCCAAAGTGACCACGAAAGGGGCGAAGCCTCAACTCGAAGTTTTAATCTCGCGGGGACTGCCAAGGGAGGAACAATTGTTGATATTTCAGCATGGTACCAAATTTCCTGATTCTAGAATCGATGCATGGTAACAAGATTATTTGGAGAAGAATGCATTCAAGGACATTCCTTCAAAGGATTGTAGCGACCTCAGGCAGTATTTTCGAACACATATTTTCTTATTTTCATCTATAGAATCACCTTCCGGAGTATACGAACATTATACTGAGACACACTGTATACTAGTCATAAGGTGGTTAAATGGCTATTTCGTGGGTCGAGAAAAGTTATAGTACAGATAGATAAACTATCTTTGGTGAACAATGCCAAAAATTCCGAAAATTGTACAGGGGTTGTGAAAAGAGGTTTTACGAAAAAAAAAATCAGGTTATGTTGACTATTTCACTCATTTTGATATCCTTACATAATCTGACCTTTCGCAAGCCAATGACAACTTCTGTTATCGCGAAAACACTAGCTGACTTTCGATTCTGATTCATCTAACAGTGTTGGTGTCTTCAACGTTGTAACCATGGTTAGCAACGGAAAGTCTGTCAGTCTGACATGAAATAATTATAGCTGTAGCTGTGAGAATTGATTGCTTTGGTTATATGGCTTGTTAATTTATATTGAATGCTTCTCATGCTTCGTGAAATAGTCTAGCAAAATACCACTCTGTTCTGAATATCTTCTCATAATTCCACCTGTCATCGTTAACTCAATTGTGTTGCCGTACAGAAATACCACTCGTCTCAAATATTCAGAATATTACTTATGATAACATCAATATCATGTTGTCAGTTCACTGTGACACAGGCTACATAGAAAAAATTAGCGATATTGGAAAAAAAAAACAAGCAGGTGTTGTCTCATCATTTTTTTCATCTGATTCGTCTTCTAGTCAAGTGGTGCTCTAGAAGTGAGCGCAGTTGATATTTTTTTCAGCAAATAACGTGAGAGTTGTTTTTAGTTTCTGAATCACATCAATAGAAACTTTCCGAATTACATATGGAAATGTAGAATGAGAATGTGTATCTCCATGAGAGTTGAAATAGAATTCAATTCAGGCAGGATACCGAAATAGAATTAGTGGGGCTATTCCTTTCTGAACATATAAAAATGATAAAGTAAGTTCATGAAGAAACTTAAAGGGAAAATTACTTCACGCAGATGTTACAAAACTTTTGAGAAATTAACTCCTTAGCTATATAATATATGAAGTTCAGTTCACTTTTCTTCGACGTTGGCTGAAGTTGTTAATTTAAGACCATCGTTCTCAAAATATCGAGGGAAGTTTCTTAAATAAAATGAGAAGAATATAATATGAACAGGACTCATCTCATCTCATCCTTCACTAACTGTGATAACATATATATATAGAGTGAGAAGTGGCATACTTCGCAAGAGTTACAATCCAATGAGTTATATACACTTATTTTCCTACTACCGACTCATTTGTAGAGTGAATAATAATTTATTCATATTTTATTGTTCTTCAGGCTAGAGAAACTGGTCTTACGCAATAAAGGCATATTCATACTCATCGTATTTTAAGCGTACTTGTGCGACCTCCGAATCACTTTCTATTTTCATATTTTATGTTATTAAAAACTCAACACTTTTAGGTATTCATTTATTTTGAAGTAGCTCTCGAGCCAAAATATCGACTAGTCATCATTCGCCAAAAATGATAATGCTCTCGCCAATATTTGAAATATCAGTTGCGCTTTCGCCAAAATATTGAATTAATATCTTTCGCCAAAATATTGAATACATATCTTCCGCCAAAATCTTTAATAGATATCTTCCGCCAAAATCGATCTCTCAAACATTTTGATAGATAATTTGCTTGTTGCTCATAAAATACATACATACAGAGTGGAAACCTATGATTGAATAACATCCGTTATTGCACAATAGGAATATATTTTGAAAAAATCCTTGGATTTCTTAACGAACGTATTTTGAACCACCCTTCAAACTCCTGTTTGAATGGTGGTGAATGGTGTTTTGTTTGAATGTCAAGTTACACCTGGTTAGAGAGATTTGGAATCTCTACCACAACGGTTTATTTCTCTTTCAAATCGGGTAGGTAAGCCATATCTGCAATAGAGCGATCGGAATATTTGAACATCGGTGTCTAAATTATTGGTAATAGTAGATAGGTACTTGAAAAGTAAATTCACCTACATACAAAATGACATTCATATTCTGAATGTAAATCTTCGCGTATCTACAGTAAAATAGTACCTACAATCACCAATAATTTGAACAAAAATCTCATTGAATTTCAAATCTTTCGACTGGGTTTGAAATGCGGATTTCATTCTATTATAGGTTTCCACACTATACCGGGTGTAACAGGATCATGGTACATTCCCTTTTCTCCTTTAGTTTTGGAGAAGTGATTGCAATTTGGAATGACCAATCGAGTTGATAAACGTAATGTTTTTACATGAATATGTTTTATTTTACACTTCCGCTTTCACCGGTGTGTGCCATGACTATTCTGATCGAGTCTGATGTACTCTCATCGACAGGTGTAATGCTAAAAAAATTGAATCCTGTCAAAAATGTTGAATTCCTTGATTTATCACCAAATTGAGTTCAGGAAAAAACGCTTGGTGTACCATGATCCCGTACACCCGCTATGTATATGATATCTCGAACAAAACAACAGTTGCAGTTCTTGTGCGCATCCTGTGTACTACAGATACCCACCTTGACGGTTGTAATTATAGCTTTATTAAGCAACGAATTGGAATCTGAACAGATAACAAAAGCTAAAAAAAAAGGAATGAGGGTAATATTGAATTGCAATGAATGTACCTGATGTGAATTGATTGATCGATTCACTTCAATAAACTCAAAAATCTAATGAGTATCTAGGCTTTGATTCTCCGTTCTGTACGTTTGATTCAATTCCATAATTTTCTTGGTCATATTCAGAACGACAGTGATACATTAGAGTTGTTTCTCTGAAGGAAATATACAAAAAAAACGGTTCATAGGTTTGTGTGAAGTTCTATCCCGTTTTCTCATTTCAATGTCACCAGTACTTCAGAAGTGTATGCTTTCCATTGTTGCAAATGTTCAATGAGGAAAGAGTCTTTAGTATACGCAAGATATTGTTTTTCATTAACTCACCATGATTATCCATATCATTATCGTATTTTCCACAATCCAGATTCCTTATGTGACTCAACCCTCTATCGGACAAAGCGAACACTATCTCAGCCGTCAGATTTGGGTCAGTAAACGCCCCATCAGGATCTTGCCTGGACTCGATGTAAGATTTCGCAGCACTCCTATTCCAATGATTGTTGATCTCATTCATATCTTGGAGAGCCTACAAACAGTAGGGCATTGATGGAAATATCACTACTCACTAGATGAACCCAACATATCGAGCAAAAAGTTTCTGAAGTCTGGATATTTCAATTGTTAACAAACCATTCAGAACTTCATAATATGAATTCTAGTGGGCACAGAAAATAATGGACTTCATAATCCACAGAAGTAGTTGTTGTGTTCTTCTTGTATATTTATTTTTCTGAATATGAAGTCTGTTTACCTGGAGTGTTAAGGCTGTGTTGTACAAATTTCCAAATCCGCCATCTTGTTGCTGTTGCCTCGCTAAGCTGATACACGGTCTTCTCAGGCTGTGTTGCAGGTTTCTATGCCTGTGATCTTTTACTATGCACCTCAAAGCTAAGATTGTCATCGCCACTGTATCTAACAAATCAAAACCAACAATTCTTTAATAACCTGCAAATACATAAATCAATTCATTCGAGTCTACCACCCCCAAAAGCCCACAAAGTCAACCAAGTACACATTCAAAAACATACAATATTATATGATACCCTTGTTCACGTGAAAGATGCTATCGATCACTATTGGAGATACACCTCCACAGTCATCAGACAGAATCATCCCATCAGCCAATGAAAACAATGCAACCGTTCATATTCAATCCAGTGCAAGCACCACCCCACCACCCTCTTTATGACTCCGCCTCAGGCCACGCCCCTTGTCGGTCCAACCGATCCCTCGACCTACTAATCTCTCGAAGTTTCAATACCTACCTCTTCTCTTTATTCACACCACTCTACACCAAGTGTGCACAGTGTTTCTTGAAAATGACAAAGACTTTATGTCGTACTCACCTATATTATGATCTTTGGCGGTATTCGCGATGTCCAGCAACCGCCGTATCTGCTTCTTTCTCACGTGACTCCTGGCGGTGCAGGCAGCCAGCGAGGCGTAAGCGAACTCGATGTCACGTACTGGCTCGTGGTGCAGCAACGTGGCGATCAAGTCGTGTCCGTGGAACTGACGTGGGTCTTGGCAAGCTCCGCTCAGAGCCAGACAGTACTGAGCCAGCTTTGGTGGCGTGATTGGGATCTCGTGGTGCCTAGAAGAAGTGGACATATGATATTCTTGTCCATGAAGGTTTTTTGAGAGGAGTCTGACTCCTAGGATGTTCTGGAAGGTCTAGGACCAGTTTTGGCTCCGAACAATCTCCAAAGCAACTGACCAGAGGCAACATAATGACTCTGATTCGGGTGCCAGGCATAAAAGAACCGAAGGAAATGAAACTGCATATTTCCTTAGTAGAAAGGAGTTATGGCATCATTATGCTCACTAAAAGTAAAAATTGTATATAGGATATCTAGGAGAAATGTGTGTCAGAAAAGACATTGAAGGACTGGAAGGTCTGAGTCCTAATCATCCTCAAAGTAAGAACCCCAGTCAATAACATGACTCCAGGTATGGAAGAACTAAGGAAAATGAAATTGCCGACATCCTCAATCTCACCAAAAGAGAAACTATGACACCATTCTACACTCTAGAAACCTTTTGTGGCTCTCCAAAAGTCAAAGTCAAACATAAATATAGACGTATTTCTTTCGAAAAAGTGTGTGTGAGAGAAGACATTAGGGTAAAGCCAGTCTTAGAATTAGAACAATTTTTGAAACAACTGAAGAGTGGTGATATAATTACTGTTTCTTCTGGTTTGAGAAATCATAGGATTGAAAGAAATGAAACTACAAACGTCCACAACAAAATGGGAAGCTGTAGCTGTTATTAGGACCTATGGAATCAGTGAAACAACAATCGAGGAACTGAATGAAGACGGATTATGAGAAGCCAATTATTGTGGATACATAAATAGAAGAGATGTATCAAATAAATCAATCTGAACTGAGACAGAATTCACATACTCACAATGATCCTATTGGGGCAATGATTAGGAGGAATTTTGAGTTGTGGAGAAGTAGATTTTGTGTAGAAGAGGGCGAACCCTGTATCTATATTCTGTTTGGCTTCTTTGGATTCTGCGAAATGTGAGGATGCTCTACTTTAGAACACAAGAAAAATAAGAGGAACCTAACCTAACAAGGAATCGCAACACATCCTAATCTCGATTGAACTAGGAAGCTGGCTATGAATCAAGATATTCTTGAATGCACTACAAGACATGGCACCATTCTTCAGGCGCACCATATAGTTTTTAAAGCTCGATAAATGTATCATCTCAAAAAAGACAAGAAGAATATTTTGCGATAACGCGATATAAATGCAGAATGTTGATCGGTAGGGGTTATGCATCTGGGAGAAGTGATACTCGAATATGTAAATATTCCTGAACTAACCTACCAACAGCGAAACGTATAACAAACTCATGAGGCAGAAATGTTCCTTAATCTGACCAATAACAAATCAGTCATTGTCCTCATCAACAAATTAGCAGTGAAGACATAGCAGTGAGAAAACCATTCTGCAATACAGCAAACAGATCTGCAACTGATGCTCAAACGCCCGAAAAGAGTAACTCTGTCACCTTCCCATACTAACTAACCTACCAATCAGCCTTTACCTCCACAACAAAACGACGATCTCCACCTCCATCTGCTTGAGGGACAGCTGCATCTCGAGCACCTCAGCCATCAGATGCGCCTCCTCCCTGGGCCAAAGCTGGAGGGCAGTCAACACTTTAGGGGTGTCGTTCCTCCATCCCCAGTCTGCCTCACGTTGAGTCACCAGCCATGCTAGTGCCCTTTCTACGACCGACGATTCCTCGATTGTGGTCTTCTCTGAGGGATTGGTCGAGGTTTGGAGGAGGTCCAAGAAAGCGGTGACCTTGACGGTCTCTGTTGTATCTGTAAGGAACAAATTGTGAAATAGAAAAACTTCACAAACGATAAGATTTCCACAATATTCTTAAACACACAACATGTTTTGCTAACACAGTAGCTTCGTCAGGTGATATACTGGTACAGAGTTCCTAAAGGTGCATTTCATGCTTAACTTAACTTGACTGAGCACACTGTAAATAAACTAGTACTAGGTAACTTGAATATGTGGAATTTGTTGAATTTCAATTTATTTAAATATTGATCATCGCGACAAGCTCTTATGATCATATAAATTGGGTATAATGAGGTTATAAGTTGATAGTGGAAATTTAAAAGGAACATTTTATTTTATTTTTCCAGAGCGTTTAAATGAAAGCTTTTTTCTAAACATCATTCTCACTTTTAATTTATTTAATTTGATGAGTAGAAATCAGTTTTATATCGATATATCTTCTCTATCTGTTTTGGAAAGCACGAACTTAATAGTCCTTCCACATGTTCCTATTGCGACGTCAGAAAAGTGATAAATCAGAGTGAGCCGTTCAAGATCGATATCCATCGTATATCAAAAATGATGTCGGTTTTCGAGAACATCCCTTCATCCCACACAAAGTTTCCCAATATGATTCAAGTTACGTTGAAATGGAACTTTCCCAATAAATAACAAACTGTCGTTCAACTGAACATGAGAGCTCAACAATACGAATTCATGAATAGTCTATGTACCTACTGACCTGCTGTGTACATAATAGGTATAAAAGCCAGCCGAGATGAACAGGGACTCATAAATGTACATGCACAATGGAAACCAATCAGAGCAACCCAAATAACGGGATACAAAAGATGCCAACCTGTCATTCGCCATGACAACTAGATGGTCGCAGAGTTGACCTAATTTTTACCGAATTGATTGAGTCCTTGCTGTTCTTCTCTCGTCTATATTCCATGACATTTTCATGCCAGCAGAATATTTTAACTCACCATCTCGAAGACCGTTCGATTCGGAAAGTTTTCTTGAATCGTCTTCAAATGTTGACATTTCGCAACTTTTACGTTCCATTTTTACAGGGGAACAGCAGCGTTGCTATGTTACGTCGATAAGAAAGTGTCGAGGACAGATAATGAATGCTCATCTTCATTCCTCTAGAATGGGGAGTAAACGGATTTACAAGAGCTAGGCAAGATTTCTTTCTTTTTAATGTTTATCTCCGTCGTTGCGAGTCAGCAACAGACAATTTTAAGACGTACGTTTTATGTCTGTACGTCCGAGGACGTGTAAAAGCGGTTTTGCAAATATACATTCGAAAGTGAACGTCTTCACTCCAAGGTGTAAAAAGGATAGTATGGATTTTTTTTTACTGTAACAAAAAACAACGAAGGAGTCTTCTAACGCTTTTGTTTGTTTCATTTGATCATAGATGACTATACTTTCAATGAAAGTGTACATTCGATTACGTTTTCAGCATATTCGAAGATGATCGTCTTCACTTCAAGGTGTGAAAAGGGTCATATGGATTTTTTCTACTTTCACGAAAGACAACGAAAAAGTCTTCAAACGCTTTTGGTTTGATTTATTCAATCATAGATGATTTATTTATACCTGTTTCTTCCTCAGTAGGCATTTCTTGTTATAAAATGTATTCTGATAATATACCATGCATATAAATTTCTTTGTTTTCTGAATGATCAATAAAATAACGATACAAAAAAGACCCAAATAAGACTTTGGCTGATTGAATTCCCACCAGTTTAGAAAGTTTCGATTTCTAAATCATTCATGAGGTGCTCCTAACCCAATGACACATTCGAATTTTTGACAACTTTCTGCTTGTCACAACTTTCTGAAAAATTTAGATGAATTCTTCTTCAATAAAGAAACCAAAAGTTGGATTTTTCCTTTTCTATGTCCATAAATCAAAATGTGTTACATGTGCACCATATTCTTGATCATATAACAAAAATAGCTGAAAATTACTGTAGGTTTATTATTCATCGAATACAATCCACCTATTCAGCATTGCAGATAGATATTGGGTTATGTAAACCACATTATTTCATATTTTGTTGGGAGAGATATTTTTTTCTGATTCTAATCACGAATAGAGACGAATCATTATTATTTTTATAGTGTAACCTTTACGAAACTAATTTCTATTCTATCTCTGCTTCATGGTCTACTTGCGCTGACATTCTGAAAGGTTAACACACAATAGAGTATCCCAAAAATAGAGCACCAGAATTCAATGTAACTTCCGAGGAAAACCTGCCTCTTGTTTATAACGAGTACAAGAATAAGTTTTGTAGGATCATAAATTATGAGTGGCGGTTTTCGATATTAAGGAGGTGAAAAATTGAAAAAGTTTTTCATTAATTATGCTCAAGAACGTGAACCACGATTTTTTCATATTCCAGCTGAGACCATGGAAGCAAAAACTTCTTTGTGCCTGGAAGGGAAAGAGAGAAAGAACATACTTATAGAAAGTCAGTGAATTTATACATTATAAGAAATATTGGAGAGAAAGTGTATATGTATACGAATTATAATATTGGCAACTGATTTCCTATTTCCTTCTAGGGTTCATTGATAAGTCTTTTAAAGCGCACCTGGAATTCTCCAAATATCTGGGAGTATTTCCACTTATGATATCATGCACGAGAGCTTCAATGTTGCTGTAATTCCATGCTCCCTCCCCTAAGGAGGAGGAAAACATTTCCAGAAAATGGTTTATATCCGATATAAGAATGTCAGTCTTGGAATGTTTCTTTCCTTCTGCTCTAGACGACGTTGTGTTCATTGTGTCCATTTACGTCGGATCAGGTTCGCACCAGATGGCGGTCATGAATGCCATCTGGTCTTGGGACACCCCTGTACTGATGATAGCCAAAAGCTCGAAACGGGTATGTAGGTAGTCAGGCGTTTCTGAACAACTTAAGCACAGCTCGGCAGTCAGGAAAGAAACACTTGCAACTGTATTCGTCTATAAGAATCGTTGCATAGATTTCGGGAGGATGTAATTAAATTATTGCGTGGCATATATACAGGAAAGTCGTTGTTTTTCTCTCGTCATCAAAAATGTACTTCATGTAGAGAATTGATGTATTCAACAATTTCTGGTAGGTATTTACAGATAGTTCAAAATATTTCAATGAATTGAATATTGCATATTGTGCATGAAGGATTAACTGGATTAATTAGGGTTCACTCACCTTTATAGTTATCACTCGTAGTTAATGTATGTTGAAGTTCTAGGTCTTGAGAGTATCCAAATGCAACCAGTGAGAAACCGACTATCAGAGGAAGATACACCATTTTGTTAGCAAACAACCATCAAAACGCTAGAACAAGATGAAATATTTATTATTGCAAATCCAATTTCTGATGTAGGTGCAGTACATTCCATTTTGGTATAGACTGACAGGTTTCTCGGTTTTTCTCGAAGATAAAACCTTGGGGTTTTCACTTTCCTATCCTACTTTTTGTGAAACTCAAAATGGTATAATCAGATTTCACATAACTGGTGTTCGTTTTGAGATGCAGGTCGGTTTTTAAGATTCATACTTTTTGGACAGCTTCTATATCTACGAAGTAAATAAAGATTATGTTGCGCTAAGAACTACGTCTGACTGAAAACCGAATTGTTCTGTCTTCAATAACAACCGAGAAGCCTGATGGTAGTATCAACCAAAAGGGATGCATTGTACAGTGTAGTTCAATTTGGATGCAGCAAGCGTCACCAAATTGCTCTCTCTACTATGCATTTTAAATAAATATGAACAATTGAATTGAAAGAAACAGTATATAGCGATGGTAGGCGATAAATCTCCTGAATCTGAATGTGCGAATAGTGTTCAAAATTTGTTCGAATGAAGAGGAGGCACGGTCACCTCATTGCTGGTTGTCAAACAAGTGATATCTGCGTTATGGATTCAACAAATCTCTTAAATTGTTTCGCTCTAAATTTCAATGGTGTTAGAATAAGTACCTTTGAACGTGATATTCAAGGTGTGAACGTTTCTTGGTAAAAATTTGTTTTTTCCAACGATAGGGATTTTTTACTTCAAACTACAAATTTCCAACTCACAAATGTACAATTTCCATTTTGTTGTCGGAATTTCCAAGTTTGATCATGAAAAAAAAATACATTTCCATCAGTTCAAACTAGGAACTTTCAATTGCAAACTCGAACTTTTCAACTGATGAGAGAATTTGAAGCTTTGAGTCTGTGAAATATTGAGTTGGAAATATCAAGTTCCACTCCAGAAAATGAAATTCTCAGTTGAAGGTTTTCAACATGAAAATGAAATAAGTCGAATGAGTTTCAGGAAAACGATTTTCCATAATCCACCTAGGGTGATCAATTCGTATTATTCATTTTACATCTGAAATGAAAATTGGAAAGTTTCAAAATAAGTTTGCAAAATCACTGCCCTCCTCTTCCAGAATTTTCTTCCGGTTCGTCCCTGACAACATGCCATAAAGTTGCTGCTTGTTTTTGTGAGCATTAATTAAACCATGTTGTATGCATATTCCAATCCACCTGTAGAACATCGAAAGCACTAATAAACTCAAAGCTAATAGCTAATAGCAAGAACTCTCTGAGGCGTGCTCATTAGAATGAAATATCTGTTATCTGTCAGGAAACAGAGCTGCAATATTCGAGGCAATCTTGGGTAACCAGTTCGGGACTAAATGGGCACAGTCATTGGATTGTTGTGGCTCTCTCAGAGAGCGCAATCAACAATAATTGGTCTTCCAACGTAAAAGGGAGACATTAGACATAAGCAAATGAGTGTATCTTGTTTGGAAGATATTTGCTAGTGACATTTTGGCTGATATAGCATGGAAACGTTGAAGAGATATCGTTATCAGACACGAACAATAGATATTTATTATACAAGGAGAAAATGAATTTAGCTTTCAGCTCCAGGTTGTATTGTAACAAACAACGGAGAGCTAGAATCTGATATTTTTCCGTGTATAATACACATTTTTTTTCTGTAATAGAAAAAACGACGATTCAATATTGAGAAGATATCACATTATAATAAAATCAGAAAATTATCAATGTGAAAATTGAAGTTTTTAACTTGCGACAATTACACCTGTGTTGCAGGCATCTATTTATAGACATTTTTCTTGTTGCTATGGAAACCTTTCGAATTAGGTTATCGAATATCTGTAACTTTAATTCTGTCATTCGATTTAAAAAAAATCGAACTTAGTGATTGTTTAGTAGTACCTAATTTTTGTAACTGCAAAGTGGAATGGATGTTGAAAAATGTAAATATTTTCTATAGTGGCCGTAGGTAGAAATATCTACAGGGTTCCATTCGATGTTCTTGACGTATCTATATGTCTATTTCGAGTCAACCTGGATGTGATATTCAATTGGTTTTTTCATGGAAAATAGAGGTTTTAACAAATTATATCTCCGATTCAACTGTCAAAAGTCTGACGCTCTGGCCGATGATTTCGCTATCACTCGGTATTATTTCGCTTCTTGGATACTGAAATCAATCTGCTGCTTTATTTCGTCTTTGTACCCATGAAAACTTTTAACGATTTGAACAATTTCGTATAATTAAAACACGCTGAAGAAAAAAGAAAACTTCATTCACCGGAGCGACTATACAACTATACCTTGATTATTTTCAATTAAATAGGGTCCCGGACAATAGGGATTAATTATTTACTTTTCAGCGTGATAAAGGAAAGAATTGTAGGGCTTCATCATTCTAATGGCTACCGAGAACAATTACTGCTAAATTACAAAAATCTTGTCTCTCGACTTTCGTATCAAAGCTTGATATAATGAACAATGTGTGCTCCTGAATTTTAAATGGGGATTTTCCTCAGTGTTTGCAGTACCTTCACGTGTATGAAGGATTCTGAAATGAGGATATACAGGGTGTTCTCCATGGTGAGAGGATGAGGAATTCATTGAATTCATAAGGAAAGGGGAATTCCTATGATGTAGAGATTCTGGAGATTATATGTTGTTGGGAATACTTCCTCAGGCAATGAATTCCAGAGCCTAGCCGTTCTATGGATGAAGGAATTTTGATAAAGTTCTGTTCGACATCTTTCGAGGTTGACAACGGGAGGATGTGCTGACTGGGCTTGTCTAGTTCGTCTGACTGGTATTGCTAGTGAAGGGATGATAGCAGAGATTTTCGAAGAACATTTCCCGTGGAAGTATCGGTAGAAAAGTGAAGGGTCGCCGATATATCATCGTTCTGTGAAACCGAAATATGGACCTATTGTCACTATGAACGCACTTACTTTAAATTCTCAGCCATGATCATGATAGCATATGGCAAGTCGTTATTGACTATGATAAATATGATTTACGAACACCCTGTACTATATATTGAACACACATGGTATAGTCAAGGTGCTTCGAGAAAGATTTACGATATTATGTTCCCAAAAGTCCTGGACATATTGATGGATGTTACGCAGTGGCTCATTTCATTCATTAACTGACTAGAAAGAACTGTTGAAAAGTTTGACCTTTGGATGGTATATTCCGTGTTCCTGGAAACTTCCAGAGTTTAGTTTTCAAGTATGATAGCTCCAATTTCTGAAGAGCAAGATCTTCTGTAAACTTCAAACTTTCTGTTGGCAACTAACTTGCAACAAGCCATTCAGTTTAATATGAACTCAGAGAAAGTTTTTATGAAAACTGTTGGAGTGAGAAAATGCATGTATAGGTATACTCAATTTGAGTTTAGTTGGTTTATGACACAGTTGTTTCTTAATTCTCACAAAACAATGATGCGGTGAGTTTATTACTCATCAACTATTATCCTGGCACTTTTACCATTGTATATGACAAGCCCTTGCGTGTTTTTTTGATTCAATTCAACAGAGAATACGGGTAGAAAGAAACGAAGTTTCTCGAGTGTCTTTTATAGCGACTATAAAAACATGACATATTGCAAAACGTTTTCACAAATCTTTCTCGCAAACTACAGTGCCCTCAGGACCGTGAGTTGGATAGCAGAGGCACAAGCACAAGTTTTTATTCTCTGAAAGTCATCTTCACACTATTTTAATGATGTTACAATTATTCCAGTGGGCATGTTTCGGACTAGAAAAGTCCATCTTCAGCCCAAGTTAGGAGTTTATAGAAACAACATCATCAGTTGTGTTTCATGATTCTGTTTGTAGAAACTTGGGATGAAGATGGACTTTTCTAAATTGAATGATTGTTACATTATTAAAAAAGTGTAGAGATGACTTTGAGATATCATTCTTCCCTTTGATGAGTTCTCATTATTCATTCGAATAAACATCTATTGTGCGTTATATTGGACTAAGTAGTATCTGCGCTATTCAATATATCTATCAATCGGTCTGTAAACTGTACTGTTAGAGCGTTATGATTTTCATCTGAACCACGTGAGTTTAGAGGTGTTCAACAGCATATAACATGCACACCTTCCCATTCGAGGAAATACAGATAGTGTATGAGAAAGAAAAAAGTAGACTTTTTGTTATTCGTAAAAATGCAGGAATTTTCTTGAAGGCATCAGGAGATTGTTCGTTCTATGACTACTTTTCATCATTATTCAACAGCAGACAATCTATGTCAGCATGTCCTTACGTCTTTACTTCACTCAATTTGCTCAGGCATTGGCAACAAGCTTTCGATCATTGTGATTGGTTTATACGGGTCATTCTTTCTAAAGAACCTAAAACAAATACACCTTTGCTGCTTCTCATCTCATAGCTCAGCCACTGCTGATTCTGTATCTGATTCTGCTGTATTGGAAAATATAGTTTTCCTTGCCGCATGTGGACAAATCGAGGCATATGAGCTTTGGAATAGTAATAGGTTTAGTTTTGCTTTTCAATTTCTTCAGGAAATTACATTTATGTTGCTCCCTACGAACACCTGTTACTGTTATATCTGTCTGGCATTCGCGAATCGAATGAAAATATAGATACACTGTTCAGCGATAGAGATACTGATTTAGTACAGTATTGCCTTCAACATTCAAATTCAGGTAGCTGAATCCATATCCAGTTTGTAATAAGTCTCTGTATCAGTTTTACATGATAATATAGGATCTGAAACTTGGATAATGAGAAAGAAAGAAGGTTAATGAGGGGAATGACATGATATAGATTTTTCATAAATATCTCGTTGTTATTGTTGTTTATTATTAGATATTTCAACAATGATCTTCTTATTTCTCAAAAAACTCAATTCCAGCCAAGGTATTATTTGGACGATGACAAATAGTAATTTTATTATAGATTCTATATAAAAGTTCAACAATTGATCGCGGAATATCTCACAT